AATAATACGTTCAACCACAAACAAATAAAAGATATAGCCAAAAGTCATAAAGGTCGGAAAAGGAACTTAAAAATAATAAATTTATATTTTGTAATGGGTGTTTAGTCGCCAAAATAGATATTTTATACCTACATATATTTTTTTTATAAAGATACGTAGTTTAATCGAATCCAAAAACGTTGCAACTGGAATTTTTAAATTAAATAACATAATATAGGATATAATTTTGAATTTAGATCTTAACTAAAAAATTCATCGTGATTCTCACAACGTTAATATTATCTTTACTTGTACCGGGCCGTACTTAAAACGTGTGCAATTTGTGTAGGTTGTAAGAAGCCTGAAGCACACTTGTATTTTGTAATAGGAGTAAACGGGGATGAAAATAACATTATGCACTTAATTTAAGAAAAAATATTTATTATTTTCAAATAAATATATTACTATTCATTAAACAAAGTTCAGACCTATTAAATTATATCATAACATGTTTTGTTGCTTTAAACCCATTTTTTTTTTTTAGTTGTAAATGAAAAAAAAAATTACAATTGACTTTAACTATGAATCAAAAGTAACACGTATTAGGTAAAGCGTAATATGAAATAAAAAGTATATATATATTTTTTTTTTATTATTTATAGTATCAACTACAGTGGTTATTAGTTTAACAGTAAAAGTTTACATTGTTTACATTATATGAGGTTGTACATTACTATTTAGAATATTAGTGAATGATCATATGTTTAGTAGAGTTGAATGTGTTACATGTTGGGCATAGGGATGGTTCTGTCTTTTCTATTAGGCATCCGTGTGAACAAAAGTAATATTTACTAATAAAATAATATAAATTATTTAAATTATTGTTCACCATCGATAATTCCGAGCTTAACGTTTTTATAGTATATATTAAAAATGTTGACTAATATAATAGATATAAATAAAGTTTATAAATAATATTTTGTTATTTTACAAATTCTGAATGAAACTCGGGACCTAATGAAAAAGTTATTGGTTTACAGGGATTTTTTTATTATTTTTTTTTCACATGTCTTTGAACATTTTTTTTTTTGGGACAAGAAGGATTGCTCGAAATCTTTTCAAGCCATAACGATTTTCCCCTGCAGTATAGTAAATTGAATTTCGTTTGTATACTTACAGGAACTTTTTACATTTGCCCATATTATTTTTCTCGCGATGTAGACGAAGATACGAAAACACTAACAAAAAGGGAAATTTACAAAAAGAAAAAAAACCTTTTCTCTAACTCAAACTGAAATAATAATCCAATTGAACTCTCGTGATTTCATAATTTTGTTCCGAGACTATAATGGATTCAATAAAAATAAAAAAATATCTGATACTGGGAATGGGTACAGCCACTGTTTTAGGCAGGAAGTTTGGAAAGTAGGATAAATAATGTTATTTATTGTCAATTTATATCTGTACGTAATGACAAATCATCGTTAATAAAAAATGATTTGGGGCGAAGTTCAGTAAGATATATTTTGAAATATAATTTTTACGATTTTCGTCAAATTTGATCTTAATAAGAGTATGAAAAAAAAACTAATGCATTAAACTCAAATTTGTTTTTTAGACTATAAAGTTTATACTGTACTAGGTACCTTGTATTAAATGTTCAAGTATTTCTCTTAAGTCATATAATTTGTGATACCTTCTAAATAAAAATACATATAAAAACACGAAAATATCAAATATCTACAAATAATAGCCTAAAAAGTAGCTAGAAAGTTTATACATTTTACTACGTTTACAAAAGGCCAACATAATTATTTGCCTAAATTAAAGGCCTTTACAGATATTTTTAACCGAACAAAACAAAAAAAAAAAAAAAATCAAATACCATATCCTTTGCCGTATTTTCTATGTTTTTTTCGATGTTTCGTAATCATTAGGAAAATTATACGGAAAATTAAACAATGAATTTTCTACTTACAAACTAGACAAACATTGTATTTCAGAAAATATGTTATTATAGACATTTTGGTTACAGATTTCCGTTAGAAAAATATAATCTTAAACATTTTAAATAATGATATTGTTGGGCGATGATTTGAAAAAATCTCGGCTTACCTGAATCCTCCATCATACATTTAAACCACTTACATATAGCTCACTATCTCCTACCTTTTTTCACTTACAAATTTAATCGTAATGATTCCCCTTTTTATACGCTCCATACAGAAGCGAGTATTTGCGATTCATCCCGCATCTTCTTTAGCTGTCTCTCGTTATCTGCTGAACGTCATATTTTACTTGTTTTTCTTATCTCTTTAAATTTTTCTTTTAATCTTCCTACTATTCTGAATTCAAACTCTGCGCATGTCATTTAACTTGTTTTTCTGTATTGTACCTGTCATTTATTGTAAATTATAACTATTATGATTTGTGGGGCTTAATAATCTAATTAAAAGCTTTTAAAAAAAAAACTGCCTTGTTATGCAAATACAACATTAAAACTATCTAGATATGATTACAGATGTTGCGTTGATAACTTATTTAGATAAGATAATAGATTATACGGAGACAATTTCATCAAGATGAAAGATAAGATTTTGACCTCATTTGATCTAAATAAAAATTAAACAATCTTTTAGGTTTTAAGATTTGTAATATCTGTGAAATATTAAAATATAATATTCGAGATTCTGTTAAGTTGGGTACACTATCATCTCATTCCTTTGAAATCATTTTAAAATTTGATAATGAGAAATTAAATTTATTTTTAAAATTTTAAATCTGTAATACATTATAGACACGCGGAAATGAATAATTGATTATGTAATTAATATATTATATATTACAATACACTTAAATGTACATTAGACCGCGAACAAAACTACAGATCATTAAATTAGCAGAAATTATTATTGTTTTATACGAGCTTCCTGTTTTTCTTTTATCGATGTCACTGTACTATAACTTTTTATTTAAAAAAAAAAAAAGGAAATAAATACTATACATATCGAGTATATATTTTATACAGTGTGTCATTATTCCTGCAATGTTTATATAAGCTGGTGACTCATGCAGTCACAGATCCAAGGAAAATGCCGGAAATCTTTGTCTCTTTATTCTTTTTTTTTTTCGGACAGTGTATATAAACACCTAAATAAATAAATGAATAAACGTATAAGTCGCTTAAAATTTTATTTTATTCATTGTATTCCGTCACTTGTTGAAACCATTTATATTTTTATAAATTTCAACAAATTATGTAATAATATATATGTATATATTATTATCATTTTCCTAGCCTTTTTATTTTAGGTCAACTGTATGTGAAAATATTTGTCGGGATAACAATATTATTCTTTTATAGCATTTTACCACGAGCTTGGGTTTGTGTGGGATTGTAAGATCGATCGTCACTTTTATTCAAACGAAATGTATTTCGTATACAAATCACGTAATATACGTATATTTTATAAGTCGTCGTTGTACGAATATCCGAAAAATTCCTAAAATATTTCAAAACACAATAGGAGCCCGACTCACCCGTTTCCTATGAGAATTATTATTTTTTTTTTTTAAGGTTATATGATATTCCTATAACTTTTTAATATCAAATATTCACCGGACACACTATCCGTATATCAAATAATTATTAATTTTTTTTATGTCATATACCAACAGTAAACTAGTTAAAAAGTAAAATATTAAATTATAATAGTTGATGTTTGGTTAACTTTTAACTTAACTAGTAAAAAAAAAAATATTGTTCAAAAATAACTTAATTTTATTTGTTTTAACAAAAAGTTTTAACTTAGTTATTTTGTTAAAATTTAAGATTTTTATAACGTTGTTTTTGTAAAAAACTCAATGTATATGTCTCGATTTTTAGTATTAATTTTTCAACAGAAACTACGTATTTTCACATAAATATCATTATCAGTATTATTACATTATACGAGACGGGGTATTAGATAATTTGCATAGTATATACAGGGTGACTTTTTTATTACGAACCAGCAATTATCTTGGAGGATTTTAAGTCAATTTGATTTATGGTTTTTCTAATCATTATGGAATCGTTTAAGCTTCATTTTAAAACCATTTTTAATTTTTTACCTCTACTCCATATACTTTAAATAAGTGCATACTTTTGATTTTAAAATAGGAACCTCACCTTTTCAACACAGATATAAATAGAGAACATTTTTTTAGAAATTTTGATATGCATAACACTAGTATCAGATTTTCCGTTTATGAGCTATAGCAGTTTAAAGTTTAGACCGGAGGGGTAAGAAGGGTCATACATAAGCAATTTATGACCCTAAACTTTAAACTGCTATAACTCATAAACGGAAAATCTGATACTAGTGTTATGCATATCAAAATTTCTCAAAAAATATTCTTTATTTAAATCTGTGTTGAAAAGGTGAGGTTCCTATTTTAAAATCAAAAGTATGCACTTATTTAAAGTATATGGAGTAGAGGTAAAAAATTAAAAATGGTTTTAAAATGAAGCTTAAACGATTCCATAATGATTAGAAAAACCATAAATAAAATTGACTTAAAATCCTCTGAGATAATTGCTGGTTTGTGAAAAAAAAAATCACTCTGTAGAGTCTACAGATTTTATTCTTATAAACGTATAGTAAAGCTATTATAGTTTAAATATGAGGGTGCACACGTTGATAAATATGTAGTATTCCTAAATTCGTTAATTTTTTCAGCTTTGGTTAAAAACTGTTATTTCAATTTTCCATATGAATGAATTCATTTAAAACGCGCATATTACATACCTATTACACCCAAGTACACAACGTAGGCGGATTAACGATAGAACATAAAACAAAATTTCTAACAACTTTTCATGTAGTAAAATATAAAACAGTAATAATGAAAATCTTTGATTTATATGCGTTAATACTACCACGGTATTTAAATTCCTCGAATTTCGACAAGGAAATATATTATTAATCCCTCACGACTTTCATAAAATATGTGTTAAAGTCATCAGAATGTAAAAAGCATATAATGTTTTTGGAATACGCGTACATTTCGACACATTTTGACTAAGTAGGTGGATTATATTATTGGTATCTATGTATAAGTAGTGAATTTGTATGAAAGGAAATATGCACAAATAACCGGTTTAAGGGTTTTGGTCAAAGTAAAAAAATTAATCGATTGTTATACACGGTCTTACTTACTGAATATTGCAATTAAATGTTTCATGAAATAATTATTTTTTGTAAAAATGGCTTAGATATAATCTTATTGAAATCATACATTCTAAAATATTATATTGTTCTTATTTTGTTCACATTTATTTTTGACACCAAAACCATAACCCACTCTTGATTATCAAATAGCATCTATATTATAAATTTCATAAATAAATAGATGTTTAAATACATTTTGTTATTAACATTTCTAATTTCTTTTAACTCGAGATAATGAGTTAACGGAGTATCCACTAATCTCCCGTTATCCACACACCAAATTTCAAAGTGGAATTAGTGGCACAACCATTTATTTATTTTCAGAGAGAGGGGGTATGAATTTGAAAAAAATTTCGGAAGGTGTTTGATGAGGAGAAGGGGGTAAGATTAAGTAAGATTTGTGAGTAAGACCTTTAAAATGTTTTATTGTTATTTATAGATAACGCGTATTATTGGAAAATAATTTAGACCTATTTTAAATATAATTTTTAATTCGTAATAATAATTATAATAATTTAAAACTTAATAAGTTGCAAAATTCAAAATTAATAATTATTTTGTAACATTTAATTGATTCACTGATAACTATAGTATCTGATTATTCTGGTATCTCATTAATAATAAAACTACGCCCATAATATAAAACCAAACGCTGAATATGTTTGAAATAAGCTAGAAACTCGTTTGGTTACACTGGTATAAATTTCCCCTTAAAAATAATACTGGTATAAAATAAAAGATACCGATGTAATTATTGGAGTATACCGGTATAACCAAACGAATTTCTTCATGCTATTAGACCATATAGAGTTACAAATAGAATACTTGCAAGTACCTATTAGCTGCAATTCTATGAAGTAACAATAAATTAATGGTAATATTATATTACTAACTTTAATACTTTATAGTAAATAGTAAGTTATAAGTTATAACTGAAACCATGCCGAAGCTGTTACCAATTATTTATAAACTAAAGCAACACGTACACAATGTTACAACATTATGTTTCAAATCGGTTTATAAATCATACAACTACGTACTACGTATAATTCGAAAAAACTCACAAACATATTTGGGAGATCACAACGCCCCTCCCTTCCTCCCAGTTGCGCCACTGAGTGGAATATACTGCCAACAGGTTGGTGGAAATTAAAAATTTCAATACCAAAATGCATGTAAACTAAAACTTAATCTTTTTATGGAATTATTAATATATGTTGCTATTCGGAAATCAAAAGTGGGTAGTGATTTCACTACCTAAGGGGAATTTGCAGACATTTGAAAATTAAAGAACGGGTAAATTTATATTTAATATTTCGATGTATGATGAATGTATTATGTTACATCTATTAATTCATATACGAATATTGTTATTTATCTTTTCTGTTTATTTAACAATTAATTAATTTAGTTAATTAATTTTTAAAGGTATTGACACATTTTTATCTTGTGTACTGTGTAGGAATAGAGCAAAAATGAAGAAAAAAGAAATATTGAAAAATCCATAATGTTATTTTATATTTTCACTTGTAAAATACTTTTGAAAAAATGTAATGTTTATAGCATAATTTAATACTTTTTTTTGACATTTAGTAAAAATTGGCTTTATATGAAAACCTCTTGCGATTTTTGTTGCAGTACAAGTGTTACAGACTCTTGTAGTTATACCATTATATTATGAGAAACGATCTCTCACGTCGATGCACATAATATAATATAATGATTATTTCGTTTAAGAAGTTAAGGTTCTCCTATAATAACGTAATTATTTTTCAAAAAATGGTTTTTTATACTTTTAGTGAACTAATTATTATTATTTTTCAATGTTATATATGTAGATAAAAATAATGTATATAATAATAATAATAATAATAATAATAATAATATAAAATACTCGTCAGGAATAAGTTTTACCTGTTCTAGTGAATAAATTAATGATATATTTGTATTTTCTTGATTTTATATCGTTGCGGTAATATAATCACAATGTAAAACTACCACTTTGAGACAACTTCTTAAATATTGGGTCTTCTCAATGTTTTCAGAGATGGTTTTCTACATTTTTTCTGATTTTGTACAATGTTAAAATTATTAATAACATTTTAATAACCACTGAAGGTATAAGAATTTTCCACTAATCTACTATCTGATACCTATTTAAGGGGAAAGGGTGTAGCCGTTTTTACGGACGAAAATAACTTCAATTGAAAAATTCTTACGCATCGAAAAACGCTCAAATTTCAATACATTTTGTGTTTTTTTTATTTAAGAGAAAAACTTTTTATAGGTATGTATATAACTCCAATTTTTGATTAATCTATATATTATGTCAGGTCAGAATAAAAGGTGAAAAAATAACATATATTGTAATTTTTTCTCAGACACTAAATAAAGTTTCTAAGAACTTAATTTTGAAAAGCGAAGTTCAATGCGACCCATAAAAAGTAAAATTAAAAAAAAAACCCCATCAAAATCAAACTATTCTATAAGGCATGGGTTTTTTTCGTACGGCATGTTTTGTACAATATACGAATAAACGGAGACTCTAACATCTTTAAGTCGAAAATTTTTGTTTATTTTCATGTGTTAATGGGGGGGGGGGACTGCACTGTCATAATCATTAATTAATTCCTCATTTTATTACACTGAGTAATGTTTGAAATTTCGTCATTATTAATATTATAGTTATAATTATTACCAAAATGAATTGATTCACGTGTCTGTAATTGTGCGGCAAGTGAACATAATAAAATTATAGTGCCATACAAAAATATCATACATTATATTAATTATTATTATTTGTGTCGGGTTGTATTAGAATCGTCCAAGAATTTTCCGACGAAAAATATAAGGAAATTGTATTATTTTGAACGCTATGGTTGAAGACTGATTGCAATATCACTATAAACCAATTATTATCGCTGAAGCAGTTTATATATTAGCTATACTATAAAATTGGACCAGTGCCCGAAAACCAATGTGCTATAATATCCTCGACTTCCTGTACGCGGAGAGAACTTAAATCGGTTAAAATGACGACGTTCGCAGCAACAGTCTATATCTATATGTGCACATATAATGGTATCGAGTCTATCCCTGGGAAATCTACACAACGTTGATGGATTTAAAGTGACATATATATATATATATATATACATAAAGAATTCTCTCCACACCTCCGTTTTAACAAATTTCACAAAATAAACAAAAGACTACGGTAGATTTAAAAATTACCTAATATAAAAATTACTTAATATTTAAAAATATTAAGAATTAAAAATGTCAACATTTTGACTTGCAAGGTTTTACTGAGTAACTGACGATATATAAGGTCTTTTAAATTTTATGTTATTTAAGTCGATTTCACTATAAACAATTGTTATTTATACCTAACATAAACTACATAAAATACATTTATTTTAAAAAACCTAAATTATAGTTTATTACTTGTTTAGCTAACCAAATCTAAGAAAATTGAAATGATTAAGAGGGGGAGGGACGTTAATAAATATTTTAAATTATATAACTTATTATAATTGTTGACGTCATACTATAGATATCAAGTGATCTTTATGACGGATTGGGAAATTTATTAACACTAATATAAAGATGCGTACGAGTAAAAAATTATGTTTGGTGCATAATTGACTATATACTAGTATATAGTAACCTAACCTAACCTAACCTAACCTTTACCTAAACTAATCTAATTATATACTTGTGTATAGTTAAGTGCTTGTTTATCGGTAGGGGTTGCAGGGGGGTTGTCTATGAAATTTAGACCAACCCCCCCCCCCCGATTTTTTACGAAGATGCACATTTTTTTTTTTTCAAATCAAACTAATATTATGTTGGTTATTTTGATATTTTGCGATTTTTGAAAACGGATCTTCCCCCACTCGAAATGAAATCCTGGTTACGTGCTTGGTCAGAAGTACATCACCTAATAGACACACCCAATCGCTGCACTTTATGTACAAGTGTGAGCAGTACGACGACACAATGATAGAATATAATATATATATATATGAATCGATTTTCTGGCGATGAGGGTCCAAAACACTCGATAATGTGAGTGGTGTGTGTACGGTGCGCGAATACCCGACGAGTCGTCGTCGTTACCGGGCCGCGTAACGGTTCACGGAGGGACTTGCCGTTATTATAGGTTACCGTCCGATACGTATACGTGTATTATTATATAGGGCGCACCAAAGTGGCGGCGGCGGCGGACAAGACTAATCGATAGAGCGCTGGTCGCCACCGCCGCCGCCACAATGCCGACGACGCCACAACGCCGCCGAAGACGGTTCTCCAATGGTAACAGCGGCTGTAGCTAGCCGCGAACGACACAATAAGGCTGGAGCCCATAGATATACAGAATACGCTATAGATAGCTGACTGACGTTCGCATTTGACGCCAGTCGCCCACACGTACGGTGCGCAATGTTTACATAATTTTCTTATCAATACGACTCGACAATAATAATATGATGTTATGTACTGTTGAATTGCTCGATGTTTATGTTGGCCTAGCTCATCGACAGTGAATTAGTACTACAGTTGAATATTAGGATACTTTTATTCGTCAATTCCTAATCGTTTTTGTTAACAGTATCAAAATGTAATTCGTTTTTAGCGTGGACTATTCGAAGTCTGTAGAGGAATAATAAAATCTACGTTAATAGGACAAAAAAAAAGACAATTAATATATTTTTTTTTTTATTATTATTACTTTTTATATTTTATTTATTTAACATTTTTAATTGAAAGGTATTATGTTTTATGTAAAATTATCAAGTTTTTAAAATACACTACAGCACGATCTTAGAATCAAAAATAAATAGAAGAATAAAACCGAATATAAAACACGTATGATAGAATGATAACACATAATAGCAACGGCCATTAAAAAATGTAAACATTGACCACCACGAATAATTTTGGAAAACATAACCACCACACTCAACAACGTAGTTAAAATCATATTGAAATTCATTGCAACTTTTTGCCACTTCAATCTGATAACTCTGATTCTCGAGTTCGAACATATTTGGTCCAGAGGAAGCTGCTAGAAATGTATGAAAATAGCTAGCAAACATATAAAATACAATGCAATACTTTCTCTATTTTCGGGGAAAATTCGATAAAAACGGTTGTATGATTTTAGACGCCCAATTAGATAGATAAATTGAATGCAAATCAATCAATATTGTAACCTTTATTTTATAAATTGTTCCGTTCCCTTCTTCCCCTTAATAAATTCTGGAACGCCGATGGTATTGCGGCGACAGTCTATGGTACAACGCGACCTTATGAAAATAAAAATAAACCGTATACCTTGCACTACATCACGCACGTGTTGCGTGTTCCGTTTTCCGAGCGCCATTTTTTTTAGCGTCTTAACCTGCCCCACGGAGTTATGACATAGATAGCCTACTTTGTACCAGGGTCCCATACACGCAGTAACCGCCGTAACCACAATTCGCCAATGCACGGTCATTATAATATTATATACGTGCGTAACGTAACGCCAAGGACGTGGCTAATACGACTACAGCGCGCAAGGAGAAGTAAAGGGGAGACACAATTTCGTCACGTAGATATTTACAATGAAACAGAAAAAGAAGCTTACATTTTGTTTTATTTCGTTAAGAGGATTACTACAATATAGCATTAACCGTCTCTTTCTAACGGACGATGTAGACAAAATTGCATTTTCGGTGTTCCTATGATGCTTTGGTTCTAGTAATATACGATTAGATTCGAAATAATGATGATTTCGCCGAATATTAATACGACGGTATTTACTATGGTTTTACGGAGATTTTTTGATAACTGACTCCCAGGCAATCTATTCAAACTTGGAAATTTAAAATAAAAATTGTTTTTTCTTTTTTAAATTCTAATAAAAAATGAAGTATGAACATCTAAAAAAAATAATCCTGTTGTAAAAACCCGGTAAATGTGGTTGTCCACGTTTGAACTGTGGAAACACATTATTTCTATAATGCTAGTTAGAAAGACAGAGAAAGCAAATGTAACTACGTGACGTCCTTTTAAGTCCGACAACGTCAAAGAAAGGATTTGTGAACGGATTTCGTTATTAAACCGACGAAACTAAACATTAAACATCATCCGTGTTCTATTGCGATGTCATTACAAGTTTTATAAGTTAAAAATTCAGATTGATTTTGTCTATGTATATAATGTATTATGTTATTTAACGGTCCTCATCAAATCCAAAGATTTTGGAAAGGATTAAATAATAATTTTGAAAATAACTTGCTTGCTGCATGCATAATATTTATTGATATACTTAATGGGTAGGTTTTTTTTCATATTTTATTTAAATATTTGTATCTATTTAATTGTTGTGATATTGATTACATATTTTATTTTGATGTTAGTGGACATTTATTTCTGTTTCTTTTAAATAATATTGTTTATGTCTACGGCTGTTTTTGGTGTCGATAGTCAATTAATAAAATAAATAAGAATTATAAGATAAATAAAAATTACTCCATTTAATAAAACCACAAAACGTAACTTTATTCCTATATTATTTGTAAAAATTATTTAATTCACACCTGTTGTGCCTAATAGTCTAGTTGCCATGGGTTATTTATAATAACAAATGAAAAATATAAACCAAGTATTTTATTTTATTTACTCTTTAGAATTTTCGATTTTAGTATGTAAAATTTTGTTTTAGTATGAGCAGCCCAAAATGTATTGATCAGCCGTGTAGTGGATACGCTGATGTTTATAATCAAATGATACCTTAATTGGTATCAATATTGATAAAATAATAGTTTTTATACTGAAGTTATATTTTAAGGGTTTTTTTTTAAAATTTTAATTAAGGAAATACAAAAAAACAAAACTAATGTGCGATATTGTGTAAAAATGAGCCAATAAATTGTAAACTTCAACAACCCTCTTGCTCTTTCCTCTCCCGAAATATTTTATCGAATACACCACGGCCGTCGAGTGAATCGATCCTAAAAATAAAATCCCTAGCCGGGTGTCAAAATATACACTTTGTGAATATTTTCGTTTCTTTACATTATCGAAAATTGTTCGAAATAAAAATAAAATACAAAAAATTGATATATGATAAATGATGATATAATAATTTTATAGTTGATTTTGGATTTAGCGTGACAGCTGATTCTGGATGTTGTAATTTCCCACTGGGGTACAATTTCAGATAAGCTGATGTGCATGTAATGGTGTGACATCTAATATATTTTTTTTTTGTTTTGATATTGGCTATGGTTCAAAGAAATTTTCATATAAATACATAGTAGGGAAAAGTAATACATTTTTTTATCGCATTTAATAAAAGTTTTGGTAACCATTCATTGCATACCAAAAATCTATAATAGTTTTATTTTTAAATTTATTTTCATAAGTTTTATCACAAGAAAGTTTTATAATCTAAGTTTCAAGAAACGTTCAACTCTTCAATGGAAATAGTGAAAGGATTATCAATCCATTGAAAATCGTCATGAATGTATTTTTAGAAATAACTATTTGATGCAAATTGATAATTTATTTAAATATAGTTAAATAATTTGTTTAATATCAGTAACAATCACTAAGTATTTTTTATTCTAAATATAATCAAGATATTTTTCGGATTAGTTTAAGAACATTGTGATCTATCAAAAATATTTCTCGACTCAATATTCGATGGTGAACCATAGGCTGGGAAGCACTGCTTTAGAGTACGTATTACTATAGTATAGTAGCTATTCTATGTGGTGTACCTGTAGAGCTATAGATAATATTATAAGAATGAATAGACCGCGAGAGTTTATCACACTAAAAAGAACATTTATTAATACATAATACATATCAGTAAGTTGTCAACATTCAATAAATAGTGCATAACTCGTAATTATTAATTCTTAAATTCATAATATTTTACTGTTAAACACGAATTATTAATCTAATAATTAGTAAAGTTAATCTTAGCTATTTTAATCCGTGTTGCGTTATATAAAAGCAGTCTATCCCTCATCCACATTTTCGACGGTGTTCCTTTATTTTTGTAAATATCTGAGTGGCCTGTTCATACTTATATTATCTATAGGTAATAAGGTATACCATGCCTTAACGTTTTGTATTAATAACTGATAGCTGTAATCTCATTAAATTGATTCCGAAAAATCGTTTTTAAATAATCGTCAAAATCTACTAGTTTTAAAATTGAGTAATAATATATTTTTTCAAGCGATTATATAAAGAATATAACTTTATAACACGACCATACGAGTTCTTCGATTTATCTGTCGATCGATTCGTATCAATTTCTAAGCGAGGAAATATTGGACACAACAAGTGTACGTAAACGTGAACAATGCACGGAAATCACTGTGTTCGTTTCAATTCCCTAGACAACAGGGTCCCATAATATGCGGTGCCGAGACCGTCGTGCAGACCGACGATGGCGCGCCGCGTGGACGTTGTGTATGCACGGCGACGGACGTGTTGCGTCACGATCGTATGGACCGGGATTAGGAGCTCATCCGAAACCCGTACCGTGTAAAAAACAAGTCGAAACCGCGAAACGTGACCACATATTATTATTATTACTATTGTTGTAATATTATCCATATATTAAAAACTCGGACCGCGAAGGACACGGCGATACGTGTTTTGTGTTTAGTATGGTGCGGCAAAAACAAGATCCGCTTTAGTCCGCGACCGGCAGCGCGCGGATTTCCACGTCAACGAATTCTCGGCGGTAAAGTGTGGTCAAATTTCGAAGATATTTTCAAATTTCGCGTTCGGCTTGAGACCTGACGACTTTTTTTAAATCGGATGGTCTACAGTTTTCGATATATGCCATGTACTAAGTAACTACAGATAGTGTAAATTGAAAAAAAAAATTAATATTTTATTCTTAAATATTAATTAAGTGTTCGACGATATAATGGTTTTAAATTCTGAGCTAGGAATATTTTATTAATTTTACATTGATTTATTTTTCTGTGAACAACTTTTCTACCAGAAAATTTGCTTCGATTTTTGAATGTAGTAACTTTCCTGAAAGAAAATTTGACTGGGGTGGTATTTTAAAAAGGTAATTTTTTTGATTTTCTCAGTGGTTTTCATAATAAATGGGAAAAACTGGAATAAAACCTAAGTAAAACAGGAAAATTTACAAAATGTATTATTTTTAAATCGTAAATATTATGGCTCTCCAAAACATGTATAACCGAACTCCGCTCAGAATCGTTTTTCGTTAGTAATAATTAATCGTTGTGTACAATTAATATACATTACATTTCCTCTTTACCTTCCCAGCCACTCACTTACAATAGTGGCGCACTCATTGTGCGAAGTATGTCCGTTTGTTTTTTTAAATATTTTTAATCCGATTGAGGACATTCAATAGGAAAAATTTTCGATTATCAATAGGCCGCCACGTCTTTATGTGTTGTTTCTGTCGTACGAGCGCACAACATAGAAAATTTATATTTAGTGAGGACAACTTAGAGCTGTTAGTTTTTGAATATTAGATTGAATTAACCTATTATCAAACTTAGAGTTAAGATATTCATATCGTGCATACAAACTTAAATATCGAAAAAAATTAACGCAGTTGCACAGATAATGTTTTTACCTTTAAGTTTTATAAGTTAATTCACTCGAGTTGTCCTTGCGAAAACAAATTCACTATATTATGCGTTTGTAAGAAGAAGACAGCTTACACGGGTGTAGCGTCACACCCAAAATGTAAAGTGCTGCGTATAAGAAATTTGTACGAGGTTTGTCAAAAATTAAAATTTATCTACTCAAAATATTCAAATTTACTTTCAAATATATTTAATAGTGGTCCTGTGTTAATAAACTAAAATGTTTACGGAGAAACCGTTCTATGCGGAACAGCTTTTTCTTTCCGTATTTGGAATTAAGATACAAATATTTCAGAACACATACGGAAGAAATATATCTACTTCGTAGGGTGCTTAATTTTGTGAAAGCACTGCCCAATGGCCAATATTTTATAGTAAGTAAAAGAAAACCTCCCGATAGTTTACCAACAGATAGATAACTCTAATTGTATTTATGTGAAAAAAAAATAAGCGCACTACTATTAAATCTAAAGTTGATAAAACGAACTTATCTTTAATATAGAGTTCTTTATGTTTTGTGAAATTTTGTTACATAGTTCTAATATAAAATATATGATGCGAGAAAAAATTCGTTCATACAATACAGTTTTTACATGAGTCAAATTACGAGTGCCGGATACAACATCTTCTGGATGCTAATATTGTGGCACATGAGCAAAAAAAAAAGTAGTTTAAAGATTTTTTAGGTTAAATTTTCAAATTTTTGTAGAGCTAACAAGTCGCGTATACACGTACGGTTTAAGCGGATCAACAGTTCACGAATAGATGCGTGCACCTATTCATTTCTTTTTTTTTCATACCACGTTATTATATCAAGTATTTTATTATAATATACATACAAGAGCATTTTGAGAATTGTGTGTATGTGTATAGATATAGTTTGCCGCTGCAAGTTATGGATATCAAACTTTTGAACTGCGTGTAGTTAATAAAGAATATATGTTATATAATATATTATAGTCAATTGAAGTTTGTGGAAGTACCTAGCTATACTTGCGAGTACAATGTATTCTGACGTCAATTTCAAAGAGTGCATAGAGTATTTCTATATATTATATAGACGATCTGTATACCTATTATATAAAAGTGTCCTAAGGGACATCCGTTGTCGAATAATCGTTACTTACCTATACCATATATATATAATAAATACATTTATTAACGCCCGGTGGGCAGGGAGTACAGATTATAATAATATGTATTAATATATAACTGGATTAATCAAGTTTACTAGTTTATTACAACATGATTAAGTGGATTAAAATTATTTATGTGCTTTTTACGATAGATTTCGATTCACTTAAATTTCGTCTGAATAATCAAGGTTCAGTGGCGGTTTATGGGAGGTGAGAGAGCGATAAGTGAGATCGCTCCCCCTTCGGGCTGTGGTTTTTTACAATTTTATTTTTTACCCACGTTAAAATAAAGAAAAATTAAATACATTTGAAAAACCGTAAATATATGAAAATTAACGTTAATATTATATTGTATTATTATTATGACATTCAACATTTCAAGGTTTATCACGTCCTCTTTAGTAGGATTTCACGTATATATTTCACGTACAAATACGAACCGTAAAATTTACGTTAAACGGTTATAAATGTATAATTTTAAATTTTATTTTTTTATTGTGATTAAATTAAAAATATTTGTAGAAACCTGCAAATTAGATCGAAAACTTATATTTATCATTTTTAGGCGTGGGAACATTTTTAAAACATTCTAGCCATTTTTTAACTACTTATAAACATTTTATTTTTGCGAGTTTTCTACGTAATTTTTATTTGGTAAGTACTCTGTGGATAAAATTGTTTGACCAAACAGATTTTAAATTATACTTTGTGGTCAAAAAAAAAAAAAAAGTGGAAGTAATGTAGAATTTTTTTAAAATTTTAATATCAAATTATGACGAAATAGTAAATATTACGGCTTTTGAAAACATATATAATTACTCCCACGCAGAATCGTTTTTGTTAGCAATGTTTAATCATTTTATACAGATATATATTAAATTCTTCTCTATATCTTACTTTCCCAACTTCTTACTACAGCGGTAACGTGAGTAGCCCATCCATAGTGAGAAGTATGCCCGTTTTTTAATATTATTTACTTATCGAGTGAATTGATCAATTATAAAACCATTATTAAGTTATAGTTGTTATTATTGTGACGTGTATACTTTAAAATAGGTATGGTTAATATTAAATTATTTTTAAGAAAGATATAAATATGTGAAATATAATATTTTATTAAATAATGTTCATATCTCGTTTAAAAATTAAAATATCACCATCATTCCACAGATAATGTTTATATCTTTAAGTTTGAAAATAGGTCAATTTCTTCTGATATTAAAACTAATCGAACAAATATGGACATACTTCGCTCGATGGGTGGGTCACTGTTGTAAGAGAAAAGATGGGTAGGTAGGGTATAAAGGGAAATTTAGTGTATTATCTGTTTGCAATGATTAATCATTGATAACGAAAACTGATTCTGTGAGGAATTCAGTTATACATATTCTGAAAGACAGAAATATTTATGATTTTTTATCAAAATTTTATATTAAAATTCGTATTAAAAAAATTCTACATCACACTTATTTTTTATTTTATTTTGATCACAAAGTATATTTTAATATGAACTTTTTGTTAAAGTTTTAGGAATTTCTTTTTGATCAAAAAATTGTATCCATCGAATTAGTACCAACCGAGTGAAAATTACGTAAAAAATGTGCGAAATTTAAATGTCTATAAATAGATCAAAAGTGGCTAAAATGTTTTGAATTTTGACCATGTTTAGTAAAGGCAAATGCAAGTTTTCTGTCCAAATTTAAAGTTTGAATTTTAACAAAAAAATACAATTTAAATTAATAAAACTATTATTTTCGTAAATTTTCCCGTAACTTTTACGTTTTTTTTTTCAATTATTATGAAATCCACTTAGAAAATTAAAAATAGCTTTCTTAAAGTACTACCCATATAAAATTTTCTTTCAGAAAAGGTACTACATTTGATAATCGTAGTAAGATTTCTAGTAGAAAAGAACATTTGTTATGTCGTACTTTTGTAAGACGGAGATACTATATGCGGGTATACCATCCTCTTAAGACTCGAGAATATACGTTGTCGTACATATAAATACGTACTCGAGATAAACTTCACTGCACTATTATTCGTAAATTTTAACATTGTGATCCGTCGATTATTCGATTATAAGAATACGCGTTTGTATACCTAAACTGCGATTTATTTATATACAATCTGTGATCGTGTGATTTTTTTCTGTGACAAATTTATGGCTTCGCCGTTGTATATTTTCACGTGAAAAATATATATCACGTAATGTATGTTTTTGCTCATAGGCTCAAGTTGTCCTATATATACACAGCAGCACAACTCGAGGTCACGTCAATGCGGATTGCGTTCTACCAACAGCTGCATGCGGTATTACGTGCACAAGTGCAGGATTTTTGCGATCACGAGAAGGATACGAAATCTTTTCAAACAACATAATATTACGTTTTATATATCTATAATTGTAGTACTATGGCCATATAATGCCGCTATTTTTTTCTCCCTAGAAAGAAATGTATAACTACTATTTCAGTGACAGAAGTGCATGGTAAATTTTGATTATGAGACTTATGAGTGTTTATTATAATTTCTGTGGGTTTATATTCGATTTGATTATTTGAAATTTTTGTTGTCAAAATAAATGATAATTTACAGAGTAGTTTATTTCGGTATAAATGCAATCGAAAACATTTCGAATGGTCGATATACTTGCCGGATTAACGTATAATAGGCCGAAGAAGTTTAAAAAGTACTAAAGGATTGGAAATGGCTTTGAGGATGTACAGATTTTCTCGCCAATTAGAATCATATTGAATTTGAAATCAAATAAAATAAAATAATTCTTTCCTCATTGAAACGAACTGAAAATGTGTGCTTTTTGATCCAGTTATATGTGATTTTATAACAGTAAATTTTTTACATTAAAAAATATTTACTTCAAACTATTTATCAAATTTTAAAAAAAAAATGAATATTATTATTTATTGATGATTCCTCAAATATTTAAATAACGTACGTATATTTACCATACCTATAAATATTATCATGGACAGTGGCAGTGGGTTCAACTCCCCTACCCAAAATTTATGGTTAGTACGGTACACGTGCGTATTTAAGAATTTATTGAATTTATGGATTAACTAAAACCCAAAAGCTTTTTTTTATATCCTCCCTTCCAAATTAATTTCCATAAACGCCACTGACCATGATCATGGGCAAAGTGAAACACTTAAAACAATTTTAAGAAGGTAGTTAACACACTGAGTGTAGCGGGGAACGTATTGGTTTTTCTGTTTGTTATTTAAAAAAAAAAAAATTATTTTCTGTTATTTAACAACATTTCTATCAGAAATAAAAAATTGTGTAGGAACTATTTTCTAACATTTTGTAACTAGTTGGTGCATCGATTTTTCTTTTGATTCTCCTTGTAATCTTATTAATTATTGGCAATTTATTTCACAAGTTATCTTGGCAATAAAAGACAATTATAGAGAGTAATACTACTCCACTCAGATGTGGTTTTTTGTTTGCAACGATTTACTGTTGTATACAGTACACAAACTAAATTATTTTTTTAACTGCCCACCTACAACAGTCACATACCCGTTAGAAATTGGACCAGTAAGTATCACTTTTTTTAATATTAAGTTTCGGTGATTACAAAACTTTTCAGCGCTACTTAATAGTCAGTACTTAACTAGTAAGTATTTGGTACAAAACTGTGAATAATTTAATAATATTATCGCGAACTCTCCTGTAGAAATTCAAAAGCATTATTCTATGTTCAGGAAGATTTAAGGACGTACAACTACATATATAAGAACCCTACTAGAAGCTTATGTTTATAGAACAAATGATAATAAAGACGGTGGTGAGGTATTTGTGTAGGTACTGGGGAAAAGGGGTAGCTAAATCTACTAACCTGGCACGCCGTGTTTACACGATTTAGAATCAGCGCCGTAAGTCGACGTTCCGGCTATATTGAATTACACGTGTACGAATTTAACGGACGCCATTTTAAGTGTATAAGAGGGGAAAAGGGCCACGGTTGATTATATGCGGTGAGCAGTGATGGACTGATGGTGAGGTTCGTGAAAAATCCTATTTCGGTGTGTGATTATGTCTGTAATTAAATGCCACGAAATTTAGATTCATTCTATAACAGTGTTCTGTGTTTCTCAACCTTTATTGTGTAATTGTAACCCCAATTGAATATTTAATTTCTTAGTAACCTCTAAATACATCCTTATTTACGCATAAATTGCAGTTTTTTTTTTTTTAACCATAACTGTTAAAAACCACTTATTTATTTTATTATAAATATATAATTTATTTTCAAACATAAATAATGATTTTTAAATTAAGATATTCGATGTTGTTACTGAGATTTATTATTAGGATTCCTAAATTTTGTTTTAATTTAAATTATATTTTAGCAATTATAAATAATTAGATGGTGACCACCATGTTGAGAAATAATGTTCTTAAATACAAAATTACTATTATAACATAATATGATATTGATTACACATAAAAAAGACCCCACACACATTACAAAAATTGTTTTATAGGTTTATACTTCATCAAGTAATAAAAAAAAAATACAAAATCGAATTAACAATTCCCTCTCTAGAGTCTAAACAGAGAGAAGATAATTATTATAGCCGTGGGGTTGTTATATATATATTATGATTGTCGACCAGAAATGGCGAAACGCGAAAACGAATTTATACGGCGTACTAATTACGCGGAAAAAGATCCTAAAACAGCTATTATATACGAGTACATATACAGTAATAACTGCGTAGTTTAATGATTTTAACTAATAAACACTCGGCGAAATGTTTAATTTGGACGATAAATTATACGAGCAACTAACAAGTAATAGACAGATATTCTGTTACTGTAGGTATACACACAAGAGCAGTGCGGTTTGTAAAATACATACATAATATACACCTGTATAGTTTGTTGACGTTTCGAACTAAAATGAATTATTACTGTAATTTATGTTATTTACAATAAATATATGCATGTTAGTAGGATAAAAAGAGAAGGGAGGGGAATATAGAACTGCTCTTTTTATCCTATACTCGTGTTATACTCGAGTAATGGTTTTAATTAAGTGATTTTTGTTAAATTATTACAAAGACAGACCAACTAGAAAAAGTATAAAAAAAAATAAAATACTTTAACAACAGCAGCATTTTAATTATTAAAAATGTATTGATAATTTTTTTGTTCAAATAAGATATTAAACAGTTATTAAAAATTAATTATATGCGCACTAAGGGGGTCTTTATTTGTAGGAAAATAAAAAAAAAATATAACTTTATATCAAGACGCCCCCCCCCTCCCCGATACTCATTGAAGACATATAAAAATAAAGTTTATAAAGTTTAGTTATGATAAGTCAACTTTAAGACGTACTACAAGATGGTTAAAAAGTTGTCCAAGAGAGTAAAATGTAGTGCTTTTATTGGTTTTTATGTTTTATTAAAAACTATATGACATAGCCTAAAAATGTACACAATTTTATTTGTAGAACACAATATTGTCTATAAAAAGTCTTCTGACAAAAGTAATATTGTGTACAAATATTTTTCTTTTAAATTATTTAATTTATATGGTTTTTTAAATTTATTTAAAGAATAGTCGTAGTCAAAAAAATGTCTCGTATAAAAATAATATGAAATTAAATTTTCCAATAAAAATATAATTAGTAGAAATGCTTCAACCGTTCTATCGTTCCAGCGAAATTAATTTGGTTTCAGCTAAAAAAAAACAGTTTCAAATAATAAACAAATTAAAGACATACAAATTGATCTAAAATTAATTCTAAAAATAAAAAACCCGGAATTAAGTATAAATATATAAAACTTAAATTAAATGACGTAACACAAGATATTATTAATTATTGAAGAAAAAGAATAGAGGAAAATCAACCGAGAGATGATTACTTCGAATTCTTAAACTTGTCAATTTTTACTTGGTGGTAAAACTTGTGGTAATTCTATTCGGGCCTCAGGTGCATTTCATCACGCACGATGAATTGCGAAAGCCATATATTGCTTAGAAATATTTTTATTTGGAAATAACTTTTATATAACAGCCGATGAAAGAATTGGAGTTCGTGATATTTGTATTTTGCTAGTTCGGGTTTATATTAAATTTAGGTTTTCTGCAACAAAGTCAATAAAAGCTCCTCACCTAGACTTAGAATTTGTACAAAGCCTTTACGAATATAGGGAAACTAATATAGGTATATCTGAAATAAGTTAAACAAATATTGTAATTATTTATATTCCTTATCGCCTGAAAATTCTGCTTCGTTATTTTTGTACTATGAAGTATCACAGAACAAATTGATCAGTTAAGCACTAAATAATGAAACCAACGAAAATATCATTAAACAATTTAGTGTACCAAAAGATATTGAGAAATTTATTAAAAACAATATCGATTAATTTATTTATTCAAATTCAATCAATTTTTTTAAACAAATCAATATTAAAACTAATTGAAATGGAATTTAGGTATTATAAATGACAGTGCAGAAAGGGCAATTTATTAACTGAGGGTTATAATTCTATAATAACTAAAAAAGATTTTGCAGATGATAGCAGAGTAACTATTTAGATTCTACAAAAGTACATTAATGTAAGTGTGAATTTAAAAAAAAAAAGTTATATTATGTATAATAGACTTTAATTTAAGTTAAAGTACTAATATTAAATTAAGTTAAAATTTGTAAAAACAAAATAAAATAAGTTTTATTTCTATAAAATTTAAAATAAAACTATAATCTATTATAAGTCGCCTTACTTTAAGCTTAAATCGAATAGATTTGAAAAGCTTGATAGATAAAACGGTTGATTGAATTAAATTTCTAATAATGACCTTTGTATTAGAAAATTTGATTTAATAATATTTTAATATGAGACATTTTTCGGTAGCTATGACCATTCTTCAAATACATCTAAAAAAAACTATACAACTTGAATTTTGTAAAATAAAAAAAAAATATTTGTACATAATATTGCTTTTCTCAGAAATTAATACATTTTGTCAGAAAATAGACAATATTGTGTTCTACAAAAAGATTTTATACATTTTTAGACCATGTCCTATAGTTTTTAATAAAACATATAAAACGATTACAACAAACACTGCAATGAGTACTGGGGGTGTCCTAACAAAAATAAGGTATATTTCATTTAAATTTAAAAAAGAGAAAATATACTGCTAAATGCTGATGGGCGCATAGTTATTCTAGGTGGCAATTTGGAAAAGTAATATATACACTGTTATTTAATTTATATCTGTAATGTTAGGTTAAACCATTTATAACGAAAAGCGATTTTGAGCGAAGATCGTTTAAATATGGTTTTAATGGCCACAATATTTGCCATTTCCATCAAAATTTGACCGTAAACCATTATAAAATATAATGGATTTCCTGTTAATTTTCGAACTACTGAGAAAAAAAAGACATTACAGTAAAACTAATAGATTCTCGGTACGCTGCGAATCATAAATAATTTGAAATTGATCACAAGAAAACAGAAAAACCCTCCACAAATAAATACACAAATATTTTTGAATATAGTAAATAATTAGGTAAATAAATAAAAAATGTATTTATAAAAATTAAAAATAAACAAATCGTCGAGTAGCGTTTTACATTTGACTGTGATATACCTGATGATGAATTTTTAATTCGAAACCGGTCGTAAAGTACAGTATCATAATACTGCAGGCGAAACATTGTTAATTTATTTATTATTTTATTTTAGATTCTGAGTGTAGAAAAGAATGTATTAGTTTTAATAAGATGTTAATTATTTTAATTTGTTTTTTATTCCGTGTACAAAAATTCTATCAGAAATCTTCCACAGATATATATGAGCGGCACCATTTCTGAAAAGGAATGTTTTCCAGATGGTACATTTGGGATTATTTTTTAATTTTCAAAGAGGTTTTCATATTATCTGGTATTTATATTTGCCTTTTCTAAACGTGAACAAATTTTCAAAAATTGTAAGCTATTTTTAGGGCATTTCTAGACCTTTTAATTTTGAGAGTTTTATATGTAATTTTTATTCGGTAGGTACTCTGTGGTAAAATTGTTAGACTTAACAGAAATGCTTCAAAATTTAATAGAAGGTTCATTAAGTCTTACTTCCTTACTATGTTGAAAAAAAAAGAGTTTAAAATATACATTTTTTAATAAGGACATTTTAATATCAACTTTTGACGAAAAACGTTTAAGTAAAAAATGACATGGAACAAATTTAATTTTAATTAATTTTTTTTTTTAACACATGTATATTACCGATTTAAATGGTGGTGAAGTTAGAATTAAGCGGACTGATTAAGTTTCAAATTTATAGCTTTTTGAAGTTCTGATATTCTGCGGATATTATGTGTTATGTTAAATAACGCTATATTGTCTTTCTTAAGTATATTTTTCGTGATCTAATGGTTATTTATGCCTGTTATCATACTAGGGATTCCGAGTTCAGACCAGTGTATCGAAAAAATTTGTTTCCATTTTTTCCCCTTTTACCTAAACAAGGAGAAAAAAAGAGGAATTTTGGTTGTACTTAAAGAATCAAGCAATCGCTTTCTCGGACTATTTTAATCACAAAATACCTCTCGATTTGTTATGCAAAATTTTCTACCATAAATTTCGTTCTGATATATCAGGTGTAGCTTATTTTCTGAAAGAAAATTTTTCATCCATGGTAATTTAGGGAGTGCATTCTTTAGTTTTTCTAGCGGCTTTCATAATATTTAAGAAAAACCGGAAAAAAATGTCGGAATAACGAAAAATATACGAAATGTAAATATTAGTAATAAAATATTACGATTTTTTTTTTCTGTTAACAACTTTTCTACCGGCAATTTCACTCCGATTTACAATGATAGCTTTTTTTATAAAAGGAAATCTGACTTTGAAAGTACTTTAGGAGATCATTTTTTGATTTTATTAAGAGTTTTTCCAACAAATGTGAAAAACCGAAAAAAAAACATAGGAAAACTGAGAAAAACGGAAAAATCGGTACAGTATTAAACAAATATTATTGAAGAAAATATATAGTGCTTATTTAATTAGGTATTTTACCACGATATGACATATATATTGATGACAAAGTATCACTATCATCTGAACTGCGCTCAGAATAGTATTTTCATTAGCAATGGTTTATCGTTGCTTACAGATATACATTTAATTGCCTATAACTGTGGCTGCATCCATTTCCATTAACTTAGGACGTCTTTTATATGTACATATTTTTATTTATATATTTATTTACTATATTTATTTATGAGTATTAACCATTTTAAGAATTATGTTTTTATTTTTTATTTTATTAGTTTTGAATGTTGTGAAAATATAAATTAATGTAGTAAAAAATGAAAAGAAATAAATATAAATATGACCAAATTCTGTTTATATACTAGAACATGAAAATTTTATTTAGGATTAAAGAAGGAAAAAAAAAATACAAAATTTATCATCTTTTGTATTAATATTATGTTTTATCATTTAAAATAATTAATTTGTCTCCCTTGATTAGGGGTGAAATATTAAATTTGTAAAGTTCAGGTTAATTATTAAATATGTACAAATGTAGAATATTTTAAATCACACTACTAATATTGAATAATGCCCATTTAATATAATACAAAAGAAAACCCTACTATAATAATTGACACATCCTTGACAACGCAATAATAGATTTTCTGTCAATAGAATAAAATAATAATAATAAGATAAAAAAACGTATTTTTAATTGGTAGTTCAAATGTATTGAATATTATATCGAACTTTTTATTCCGACGATGACGTTATGATATTTTTTAGAGCATAAAACTTCTTTACATAATTACATGATAATAATGCCCGTTCCCATTTATCGCAGCACTGAAAAAGTTGTATTCTAAAGATTACTCTGTACATACAAAACAAAGAATTTTCTCTCGAACGTTGCACTATTTTCCCGAGGAATAATAAAAATAGCAGTGACAGAATGACTGTATATATGTATATTTTCAGTATTTGCAGCTTTTGTAGAGCGTAGGAAGATCTTTAATCAAGCTTAAAGCATTGAAACATTCCACTTACGAAAACCAACGTATTTGTATTAAAACGAATAGTTAGTTATTGTTTAGGTATATTTCCAGGGGCATCTATGTAATATTTTATCTCGTCTGGTCGCAAACGATCATTAGCGCGTGTAAATCACCCTGAAGGTAAAGAGTGCACTCGAACCTGAGGATGTGTACTTTTTTATATATAAATACATATTATATTATACGCATTAAACGTACTTATCATCGTCACATTTTGAAAATATACAGCGTAAAAATAAGTGTAATTATCTTCTTTCTCTCCTTCTGCGCATGCATCTATAACCTACTCAAAGTTTTTACCTTGCATGCCTCTATAACTCCCGGTCTTGGACTAATATCTTCTAGAGTTTTAAAGTACACTATTAAATCTTGCCACCTCTCATGTAGTTACGTGATTTGCTTCGGCGTCTGTTTATTTATGGTTTCCATTCGAAGTCTTTCTGCATTAGAAGTAATCAACTCATATTAACCTAACCTATCCTAACCTAACCTAACCTAACCAAACCTAAACTCTATTTTTATGACTTCATCTTGACTGAATTGCTTGGAATTGTATGTAACTATTACTATAGCTGGTGGCCTGGTGTAAAATCCATTTTTTTCCTGTAGTTTTTATTGAACTTCCGTATTCATTAATTTGTCTTAATATTTTACTCAGCACGACTGACAACAACGATAAATTACGCTTTTCAATTTCTATACTTGTTAAATAAAAAAAAAAAAAAAAAAACCCATTAAATTCAGACAGAACGTAAGTTAGTTGACGCCATTTTCTACTTAAACAATATTATAGATAACGCGTAAGTATACTCGTATATATATATTCATATTATCGTGTTTAAAGAAAGGATTTGGTGTTCTATATGTATATCAAAAAGTGTCCACTATGTATGGTGTTTTTTTTTTTGTTAGGTAAGTATATATTATAATAATATTATAAACAGCATGTTTAAATTGTCACTTACGAAACTTACGTAAAGTTTTATAAATAATTGTACGTAGTCTGGACGGATTTTTTTTTTTTTTTTTTTTGGGGGGGTAGGGAAGAGAATTTGTTAAATGCGCGATACATGTGAAAAAATATAATAATTCATACAACATATACTATTATTACGGCGGCGGTGGTGGTGCAATATTCCAAAAATAAATATACTTTTGTTTTATCGATCGTATTATATACGGGGAAAAAAAAAACAAAACGTGGCGCCCCGTATATGTAATTTTTTTTTTATTATTATTTTGAACTCTCGATGTTATATAAAAACTATATATAATATTATATTAAAGCGAATTTCGGATTATATGAAAAAAAAAAAAAAAAACGACTCGACAAACAAATAGACTGCCGGCAAAGCGCTAGGGGTTCGCACTCGCGTGTGTGTGCACGGGTGCAGTGTAAGACGAATGGCGGGAGAAGGGTTTTGAAGATAAAAATAAAAAATAATAAAATCGGACTGTAATTTCGGTACTGAGATTTCGCGGGCATATAATAATAATAATAATAATAATATATCATATACACATTTTGAGCGCGAGAGAATTCTGTTCGCCTGCATGAGGGCTGTCCGATCGATTGTGCCCGTTGCGCGCCTCCGTAGAAGTTTGCACCGCCGTCGCCGCACCCTCCATTCCGCCGCTGCCTTCTTTATCCTCATCGGCTCCCCCCACCCTCCTTTCTCGTGTAATCTTTCTCAGTCTGCATCACTCGGTTTCTCTCTTTCTCGCCAGCACACAAACGCACACAGTCTTTGTGAAAGCCGCTGATTGTTATGCCGTGTGTATAGGTGCGTGCAGCGGTACTCGTATATTATTACGCGTCGGCCGGGCGCGGAAGTGGCGATGCATATTATAATATATACGACGACGACTATTGCAGACGACGAGGGGGCCCGGTGAAAAAAAAATACGACGGAGACAAATCGTCATCCGGTTTCGTTGTTGTGCACAAGAATTCCGTGACAATTTCACACGCGCACAGACGGTTGGGAGGAGCTGCTGGGGCTGGAAAATCGGTTGCGAAAAAAATAACGAAGACCGAAAAAAAGAACAGAAGTTTTTTTTTATATATAACGGATGGATGAACGCAATGGAATGAAAGTATTGCTCGGTTTCAATATTGCATGGGTTTTTTTTCCGAAATCTGTAAATACGTTACAGATATAGCATAATACGAGTATATTCATATAGATAGTATAATATTATTATAATATTGTCGGATACAAGAATATTTAGTTTGTGTTGGATAATGGATTGTAATTATATGATTGCAACATTCTTCCTATCAAAATATAATCAGAACCTTATCACTGGCATAAATTTAAATCATAAAAAATAAGTTCAAATAAGAACTAAAAAAAAAAAACGGTCATACTTTACACGACGGGTGAGCCACTATAGTAGATGAAAAGTTTGAAAAGTAGCAGGAAAATTGAATGTATTTATTAACCATTACAATTAAAAATGTTTCTGAGCAGAATTTGGTATAATGAGTTTCGTACATTTTCCTGTTTTTCCCATTTATTATGAAAATCCCTTGGAAATATCAAATATTACCTTTTTAAAATATCATTCCAGTCTATTTGTTTTTAGAAAAAGGGCTACACATAAATACTGTAATACAATTTCTGGTAGAAATGTTGTTCACAGATAAAAAAAAAAAAAACATTATTGTAAAACCAATACATTTCTCGCTCCACTCAGAATCTAAAATAAGATAGGAAATAAGAAAAAAAAATCAGTGGAATCGAACACTGGTCACTGGATCTGATAGAATTTAAGTTGGCGACGTTCAGTTTCGAAACAAGATCCAACAATAAATATAACAATCAAACTGTTGAATTTTGAAAAACGTGCTATTATTTTAATTTAAAATCTCTGAATTTCGGAAGACACCTTATGTTGCTTTTGTAGATACATATAAGACTACATATAATTTTTTATATTATATAAATTATTAGGTTTTCGATAAAACCACAATTTCTAACCGGGCGGGCGCACATTCGGACGAGTTTCAATAATCGGCCTCGCGTACACGATCCACTTCGATCGAACGTTTGTACAACTTCATCATATCCTACGTGAAATATTATCATAATATTACGCCTGGTTCATCGCTAAACAAAACACTTTTCCGAAACCATTTTTCCGCTTGTGAAAACAAACAAAAACTCATGCATAATAATTTTAAAATAACGCATTGTTGTTGGTACTGAAAAGTCAAAACAGACTTATTTCAGGGGAAAAAAAATTCAAGGCTTAAACGAAAGAAGAAAAAATATTATAATCGAGACCCGGACGTTTGTTCATGTGCGGTCGTGTCCCACCATCGCCCTTAGAACGCAGACGGTACTGATTACCCACTAACGCGGGTGTACTTACCAGAAACTACCACTGGTATATAAGTACTACCATCATTTAAAAGAGCCGCGGGGCAATTAGACGGAAAATCAGCGAGAAGACGTGATAACAAAAGTCATATATATATATATATATATAACGCATCAGTGGATTTACTACTGCCGACAATTCCAGTATAACAGACGGTTTTAAATTTCGCGAGATCGGTAAAGTTTGATTTCGTTAGAGTAATGTATTATTTTAGTTGTAAAACTTTTTTCTTTTTTTTTTATTCTTATTCGTTCGAGTTTCGATCGCTTCCAATAAATACGTGCCATGCAATATACCACGCGATTGTTAAGATGCATTGTAAAAAAAAAAAAATACGACATAGATAACCATATACGCATTGTACTTTGTCATGTTTATTCTCAAGTTCATTAATATATATACTTACATCAAATATACTTATTTTTTTTTTTTTTAATAATAATAATGTATATACCGTGAACTTATAGTACGACTAAATAAGAAATTCGTTTTTATTTTTATCAATTATTTCGAATAAAAATCTAAACTCTCGTATTTATATGTGTTATAAATGTAACTCTTACTTAATGTAAAATTAAAGAATTTTCATAGTTTATCATTACAGTATTTGTAAATTTTATATTTTATAATATAGACTATATCACACTGTATGGTATATATCTTTTCCCCTTTACATTAAAACATTTTAAACGGAACTATAGTTGTTTAATACAGAAATTTAAGTGATCAAATTTTCAGTATGAATTTCGTCCGGAATAATAAGGGAGTTATTTTTAGCATCATTTTAACATTCTTAAAGGACCTTTAAATGAAACTAGGGGGATGTAGTTTTGTACACGACATTAGTATCAAGGATATGATCATTAGGGATATAAATTTTCAAACTTTGTCGATTGTTTATAGTTTATTTTTCCAGGTTTAATTTTTTTTTCCTCATACCAACCTCTTATATTTTTTTGGAATATATACTCTAAAATGAAAAATGTTAAATAATATAACGCATATATAAATCGTTTATAGTAAATATATTGATAGTTTGCGTTATAATAGCATTTATTGTTTAGAAAATATAAGAAAATATTATATTTTTTTAACTAGGTTATGAAAATTTACTAGATATTACTTTACTTTATTGTAATATTATATATTTTAAATGTATATTTAATAAACAATAAACTATTTATTGGTTATTTTTCGACAATATAAACGATTCCAAAAAAAACATTTTGTGTGTAACGATAAAATAGATAATGACAGTTAACGTGACGTATAAAAACGTCTAAAAACGTAAAAAATATAATTAAATTACTAAATAGTAAAATTAAACTGATATTACTAGATGTTTAAAAAAAAAAATTACAGTCTTAAGTTGGGATATTATATATGGTTATACGTTTTCATAATAATTTATATATATTTGCCTGACATATTTAACAGGCTATTTCAATTTGAAATATTCTGTATGATATCTATAAAATATATATTTGTTAAGTTCCATTTAGGAAAATAAAAATAATAAATTAATACTCACACTAGGAGTAGTTGACTTAAACATTCATATGCCTTATTTGATTTCGTTTTGTAATTTTAATTCTAAACTGAAGTTCTCTGCATGCAGTCTTTTTTTTCACAGACGAACGTCCAATCGATCAACAATCTAAAAATACAAAATTTATAATATTATTGTAAATACAAAAAATAATACAAATAATAATACATTTTATAATTAATATATCTCAATAATTTTTTTTGTTTTATAATTTACTCTTGCGAATATATTAAAATATTGTTGCGTTAGATAAACAGTTCGAAGTGCAATTCTCCTTTTGTCTACGTTTAGTATTGAATACAAAAATGTAGACAACTTTTTGAATTTATGATTAAGTCTTTAAACACCTAACACCTAAATTGGGTAGTAATATTATAGAATTAATATATTTTAATGAAAATTCCAACATTCAGCAATTATGTATTGAGTTACGATAAAATAACTAACTAAAATATGGTTGTGACGGACTGTCGAACTGCAGTAAGAGCAGGTTGTACTGTAAATCCACTGTATATATATATTAGATTATTAATACATTTTTTTATTACGCTTAAAAATATAAGTAAAAAAACTACTGAAAAAATCATTAAAAATTACATTTCTCAAGTACAGTCAGCGGAAAATTACCTATCATGAGGTGTAGCATGACACATTTGTACTACCTACCTCATAGTGCTTATCAAGAAAGAAAAAACGCACACATCATTGTAAAACTAATAGTTTCTGCGTTTATTATTATACAAAATGTGTAAAGACTACGGGAGAGATATAGACGTTGTATAGTTATTTCTTATAAATATTAAAAACGTTGGTAAATTATTATATATACTTGGAAAATAATGATGAATGTGAATAAAGCTTAAAATTATAATAATAGTATTACGAAAATTATGTTCGTATTTGATTAAATTTTTTTTCGCTGTTTTTAGTACTTATTATTTTTCGGGATACTACAAAATTGAGAATTCTGCTAAATATTTCTCTATGATACCACGTTTTCGATTACCTATATGTAAAAAGGTGAAAGATTTTGACCGTATCGACTGAAAATTTGAATAATAATTGTTAAGTAATTATAATTTTATAATTGTAAAATTGCTGTTTTTAAATATGTAAAATATCATAATTTTCAGCAATATATAGACATTTTTTATAACCATTTAACACGATTTAACGTTTATTTATAATATATGATGTTGACAAATTACTTATTAGCTAACACTTTAAAATGGTTGTCGTATACAATTATTTTATACGAACAAAAAAATTGCATTTTGTTAATAATTAACGTATTTTCAATTCTAAATTTGATTAAATTTCGTTTAAAAAAACGAACATAATAATAATTTTATGAATTACATTTTTTCAAATCATACTTAATATGAAAGTTGTAAATAAATACATTAATTTATACAATTACGAATATTATTTAAGTAGTAAATAAAAATAATCGAACGGCGTTTCGGATAGGCAATAATAAGGCATATACGAATAACTGCGGATGAAAATACGTCAATGTGAATCTAATATATACTATTATCATATAATTATAATTAAGACAATTAAATGTAAATGTTAAATTTATTTATTTTAGCTATCGAAAATCCATAAACGCTGCTGATTGTTATAATTGAAAAAGGTAAATTAAGTTATTAGTAATAATAATATAATATTCAGTCTAGTTTAGCCACAGAATACAACATAAAACATGTGAATATTACAGTTTTTTTTTAAATTTAAATTGAAATGATTTTTTTTCTCGTAATAGAACAACGGTGAACCACAATATCACTAATTTGTTAACTAATTTTAGGTCATCAACCCATTTTGATGTTTGAAACAGATATACATATTTTATACTATATTTGATTGTATAAAATAATATGATAATATTTTTTTGGATTATTGTGTATATATAATGCAAAATTCCTTAGAAAATATTTGAAACTTATTAATAATCCTTTAATTTTTGTAATTTTGAATACACTATCATCATCTATGCACATATTACATAATAACTTAATTAAGTTAAGTTAGTTAATAAGTTGTCTCATGAAAATTAAATATTTGAAAGTGACGAGATTAATCCACTATCACCGTTATCCAACTTACATCATATATAAAATCCCCTCAAGAAACAAATTATTATGTTAAGATAAGGTTTTTTGTGTACATTTTGAACATTCATTATTTAGAAAAGTATTAACTTTTAGTAAAAAGTATTTTTTCAGTAATTTTAAATAGGTTCATTATTATAATGATAATAAACTTTTATGTTTTAATCGACTTAAGTTATATAGAACAATATAACTTATATTTTTACCTACGCCTTTGTACTTTATTACAATACGAGTAATTATATACAAAACAATTTTGATTGATTCAAAGAAAATTTTTTCCATTTAATAGACATTTAAAAAAAAGCAAATACTGCATATGGATGTGCAACTGTTTTAAAAGAAAAGTTGAAAAGGAGAATATATAGGGTGATTCATTAAATATGCCCACCCCATTTTATCGTTACATTTAGCACTTATTCAAATTTTGATTTCGGAATTATTAAGTGTAGTTAAAGCCAATATTGTCAAATACTTAGATTTTTCACAACATTTAAGGAGTATCTTGTGGTGATACCAACATTGTTTTTTAAAATGAGAACCTACGTATTTTAATACAAATAGGAAGATTATCCTGAGCATGTTGACATTTTGCAATAGAAATTTGATTAAAAAGTTTCTGAGTTATTCTATTTTAAAATGCTAAAAATAACAGTTTAAAAATCATCATGTGTGGAGGCATGGCGAGCGGCATTTTAATAGCTTGCCACTATCTCCACTTATCCAAACCTAAAAGTAAAATATCTCGTCAATAGGTAAATGGAAATCAAAAATGAAAAAACCAAACTTGATTCAAACTTGTGTGCCATATATTTATAATATTTTTAATATAGGCTCTATTTGTGAAACAAAATGCTGGTATCGCAATGCTGTGAAAGATTTAACTATTCAGAAATATAAGCTTTAATTAGAGTTAAAAATTCCGAAAATCAGAATTAACGTATGCAAAATTTAACCATAAAAATAGGGTGAGCATGCTCAATAAATCACCCAATAGAGGAATTTAATGTACACCTGTACAAAAACGTTAAACTATTGTTAACCATGAAACGATTCTAAGGCTTGATCAGTGTAAGCCATAATTTCTCCCTTGAGATAATCTAGAAATAAACAAAAACTATACAATAAATTGCTTGTGTCCCTTATTTGGTCCAAAAAAAAAACCAATACATTACAGTGAAATCAAGACATTTCTCGCTTCACTCGGAACATAAAATATATTGATGTATCATAATATTATTTAGTTAATGTTTAAAATTTAAATAATTCATTTAAAAATATTAAATTTTATTACATTTATAATCCAATGTATTTAAAATGTGGAATACTTTTCATGTATTAAATTTCTATATTCAGTTAAAATATATTACAAATTCAAATTTTCAGAAAAATATGATTTACCTAAATTTACGCATTATCTCTATACAAGTACTTTATTCTAGAAATTGGTTTTTTTTTTTTTAACAGGCTCCTATATTTATTTAAACAAAAATCAAAAGAATCAACTGATAAATTAATCAGTAATCACGTAAATATTTATACTAACGTTTAATTTCTTTTGTATACATTTTCAAGCAGCTAAAAAAATAATTAATTATCAGACAGATTATTTGTTATTGTTATTATTTTTTTGAGAAATATTCTTTTCATTTTGTTAAAAAAAAAAACTAATTTATTTAAAGACTGTTGTTTTTGTCATTCGCACCAGTTGAAACAATGGTTGGGTTGACTTTTTTCAATAAGTTCTGAAACGTACAGATATATATTTCAGGTAAACCATGACACGCACCAAATACCCATGTTATTGTCAATATTGCAGGGATTAAAATATACACGGGTCTGTTGTAAGGTTTTAATATAAACGATGGCCTTAAATGCGGATTAAATAAAAGACGCTACGGCGGAATAACCAAGAAGCATCCTTCTAAAATTCAACTAAATTACGGTAGATCTGTTGAAAGGTTGTTGGATATCAAAATATTATTATATTATTAAATATTATTTATGTTGAATTGGATAAAATATTATAATCGTCTAGGTAATTGCAAATTTTTTCTACTGTTATACAATATGACGGGTACTTTGTTATATCACAGATATAAATTATTTTAATCACGAC